CTGGATCTGGACGAAGGAGAGCCACACGTTTAAATACGTAACCATTTTGTTTTGTCAGATCTGGATAAGATCTCGTTCTTATCTCTGTTTTCATATAAAAAGAGATTGTAATAGAGTAAAAATAAGATAAGGGGGATATTTTTCTCTCTTCCTAAATCTCTCTCTATTCTCAGATCCAAACTTCTACTCTTCCATTCTTTTATCTTCAATCTCTATCTCAACATTCTCTCTCTCTTAATTCCGCATATTCTAACACTGCACACCCATAAGCTGAATCTACAAGCTTACGATTGGAAAAGAGACTATACGTTCCAATGTTTCAACTGTGAGCAATTCACCACCGGTTTTAGGTACGAGTGTCTTAATCATTTCAAGTACAAAGAGCATGACTGTGATGTGATCATATTAGACGCAGTGGTTCCATTACTGAACCATTTGACCATAAATTGCATTCCCATCCACTATACTTTATTTTGGTGAAGTCCAAGACCTGCGCGGCTTGTGGCCTAGATTCACCTAATGTCTTAAGCTGTATCGTTTGTGATTTTGCTTTGGACATTAAGTGTGCCACTTTACCAATTAAAGTCAAACACAAGTGCGATGACCATTTTTTGTCACTATGTCGTGGCGACGGAAACGTGACTGGTGAATTGTGCTGTGATATTTGCGAGACGAAGACAGATCCAAAGGTATGGTTTTATACATGTGATGATTGTGGGAGCACTCTCCATATTCAATGTGTTCTTGGAGACTTCTATTATTACAAGCCAGAATGCAAAACCATAGGAAATAAAGTAATTCTCAACAGTGGTATGACTCGACCTTTTTGCACCGTATGTAATCTTCATTACATATTCCCTGTCTTTATGACGGATGTGTCATCTTCTGAAACCTTTTGTTCACTAGAATGTATATCCTTTTTAGCAACCTGAACTCATGGACATATTCTGATAAATAAAAAGAGGTTATTTGTTTTTTATTTTCTATGTCAAATTCTGATATTAGCTTTAAAGGCATGTGTTTCATTCACCATGTTTTGATTTTCTCTACTTTATAGAGGAAAAAGGAGCAAAAAATAAGTTAGTACGCCACTCTATCTGTCGTGAGGTTTGGCATGAGGGGGTTATGAAAAAAAAAAAATCAAATTTCCTCAAAATTATATAATATTCATGTTATAGCTATTTAAAATTATACAATACTAGATTTAAAATCCGCATATATGCGGTTTTATAATTTTATAATTTATGTGAAAAAAAACAAACACGAAAATTATCAGTACACAAAATCATATTATCTATTAAAAAAAATGGAGAACTCTAATTTAAAAAACAAAATGGAGAACTCTAATGTGAAACCACTAATTGAGAATGAAAAAAAATATCCTTCTTCTCATCAAAAACGAATTATAAGTATTTCATCACTTGATTTCTTACTTTCTATAGTTTTCACAACATGAAAAAATTTCAATATAATGTTTTCTTCAAACATCAATTTTGTAAAATTTACTGCATCCACATAGTGTACAATTTATAATGGTAACTGATTTTGCTTTTGTAATATGATTTCAAAATATAGAATTAGATTTTTAAGATAAATAAAACTTTTTTGATACGTGTCAAAATCTAATTGTAACTTTTGTTTAAAGAAATAATTAACTGCATTCGTAATTATTATGAAAGGGGAAAGAAGTGTGGTTCTCCCAATCATGTGTACAAATTATCTTTCTCCCGCTTCTGCATTCTTATCAATACTTTGTTTCTCGTATGCACTGCCATCAAAACTACTGTGGGATTAACACTCTTCTATAAGATTCTCTTGCAAGATTTCTGCATTTAAACTCGATTTGCTTGACTGTTTGCTAGTTGGACCTACCTTTTTTTTTCGTTGTGAATCATAATATATTTTTGTTAGATGAAAGTACCAAAAGAAATATATATATAAATGAAAGATAATCTTTGAAAATTTTAGTATGTAAATATAATTCTATTCAAACTCAAAAAAAAAAAAAATTATAAGTGTATTTAATAAACGTGCTTGATGAATTTAAAAAATCTTGAAGAATTTATTCTTATAAGAAATTAATCATTTTTACTTTTTAAAAATTTTATAACCTATGAAAAAGAAACGAAACACTAAAAATACAGAAACAAAATCTGATCACTCGTAAACGTAAATATAATAAAATCGAGAACGTCAATGTGAAACTACTAGTAAAAAAATTATCTAACAATGATTTGTGTTAGATTCTTTATTTTGATGTTTCTATGTTTCTATTTCTTTTTATAGTATTTGATTTTGAGAGTAAAGAGACTTTGACCGAGACAGCCGCGTTTAGATAGTTCGCCCTAACCTCTCTCTCAGATACGGAGACCGAGACAGCCGCGTTTTCTACCGGAAAATGAAGTCTAGCCTCCGGCGTTCATGGTCCGAGCTCCTCTCCTCCTGAACGACGATTGCTTCCCTCTTCTTTCAGTCCAACCAACCCAACGTCTGCTCTCTCTCCTTCTTCTCTTGAGATGATGTCTTCCACCTTGAGTCGAGCCCTCTGGTTCTCACCAGGCGGTAAACCGCGTGCAGATCGGAGCTCCGCCTCCTCTCTCCTTTGGTTGAAGACGTTCTCGGAGAAGAAAATCCCCTCTCCACCACCGGAACCACCAGATCTAGCTCAAAGGTCACGTTCTGTCTCAGATCTACTCCACCATGGTCTAACCAGCGTGGAGATTTGCTTACATCCAACTCAGTCTTCGGCTTCAACCTTTGCTCCGCCGACTGCATCAACCCCTCCTTAGCCGAGATTTCACTTCAATCTCTATGGGCAAATCCTACCGAATCTTAGCACACCAGATCCGTCGGCCTCCGCATGTGAGTCGACGAGAACTTTTGAAAGAAACTCCTCTCTACCGGCGAGTCTGACTTGCAACGGCTTAACGAGAGTGATCGCATCTCGACTCTCTACTATCGGACGTTACCAATTCTTCTTCGGCACACCGGACCATGTCTCTGATTCCTCTATCTCCAAGAGTTTCATCGTCAACCCCTCACCAAACTTACCTAAAATGGGCCAAGCCCATATCATCTTCACTTTGGGCCTTGAGGATCCAAACAAAACCATCAACCCTTTTGTCAGGTCAAACTCCTTCAAACTCTGTGCAATAATTACCGATTCTACTGTTGGATTTACTATGTGTTCTTCTGCAGTGAATCAATCCAGACTAGAAACCTCCTCCTTTGCGGAGAGATCAATTTCCTCCTTTGCAGAGAGATCAATTTTATCAACCACATGCATTACGCAGAGACTCGTTCCACAATCATCCTTTATGGAGATCGTTTGTAAACAAAGCTCAGCCTTGAAGGCATTAAGAGTTCAAATTCTTGTTCCCTCACCTCTAATGGTAGAAGAACTACAATTAGCCTTGGATCCCAATCATGTCCGAGAGCTAAAGATCGATGCTAAACCGATCATTTGGGAAGCCTCTTCGAAAGTGCTTCCAATTATTATCTATGAGTCTAACCTTTTATTCTACCATTGTCATGCTTTGTATTTCATCTATGTATCAATTTCTATCGTTCTAAGAGCATATTCTCTGGCAAAGAGTTATTGGCTTCTTCATGTTGTAACCGCAAACTAAGTTGTTAATACAAGTATGTTGACCCAAAAAAAAAAAAAAGTTAATTTATTACATATTTCTAAATAGTTACTTTTTTATGACTATATGAATTATGTTATTTTCATACATTACTGTGTCTTATCATTATCTGTGAAAGAGAGCTCAGACTTTGGCTTAGCCCAAATCGACAATGATTTCCTCACAAATCCACTCCCTCATCGTCCTCCTCCTTCTGGCACTCTCCGCCGGCGACCAAATCTCCGCCGCTATTGAGACGGAGACAGAGCCGGTACCTGCGCCATGGCCGGAGCAGTTCCACGCGTTGCTTTTAATGAACAAATCTGGGTCTTTGGAGATTGTGGACCTTTGGTACGACTGGGTCAATGGACGTAACTTCAACATCATTCAGAAGCAGCTTGGTAAACTCACTTACGACCTCGAATGGAACAATGGCACATCTTTCTATTACACACTCGACGCTTCCAAAACTTGTCGTACCGTTCATTTCGAGGTCAGTATCTATATACCGCTTTCTTAGTGGAATGCTGTAATGTGGATTTATTAGGGACTATGTGTCTGTTTCTTGCTGTTTTTATGTTGAATTCATAGTATAAGTACCAAAATATTCATCAAATTTGGAAAGCAAGAAGAACAACTTTGGGACTAGGCCTGTCAGTTTAAATTGTGATACACTTTTTAGAGATGTGCAATTTTGTAGTGTTTTGGCTTCGTTGGTAAATTGAAATGCTTGAGAGAAACTTGGTGAGTCTGTCTTAAATTTTAGTGGTGAGTGGTGACTTCATTTCATGCAATGGAGCTGTTTTGAGTTACTGTCCTCCTTCAAACTTAGAGAGTCTTGGCCTACTCTGGCTTCTGAGAATCTCAGTAAATGTTGCAAGAACTGAGTGTTTTCGTCATTTCGTCACCATGTGAGAGCAAGAAACATGTTATGCTTATGTTGCTACTTTGATTTTGTGAAACCTTATCTTCTTCGTATGAGATTAACAATTTACTCAAGTGATGGTCATAATGATAAGCTGCAATGAGCCACAATGGGAATCTAGGAATAGTGAGCAGGACTTAGGGTCTTTTGGACTAAACTATTTTGAGAATCCAGGTTATTCATCCTTAAGACTTCTGGTTGGGAAAGTTTCACTGTGCTTATGGTAGAAACGTAAGGTTCCACATCAATGTTTATCGATGATACTCTCAAGTAATATAATATGCCTTGATTTGAGTTCAACATAAGCAATGGTCATATACAGGATATATTGTAGATCTTTTAATGGTTTTAGAAAGTTGCTGAGACTAGTCTCTGGTTTTTTGTCTACCTCGATTAATCAAGGTTGGAATCCTGAGACCAAACTGGCTAGATGGAGCAAACTATTTGGGTCAAAGACAAGTGAATGGATTTCTCTGCAACTTATGGGAGAAGGTTGACTTCTTATGGTATTATGAGGATGTCATCACCAAGAGACCAGTACAATGGATCTTCTATACAGGTTTGAAGTGATAGATGATACTATATGACTTATGAGTTAGTCATCTTTCTCTTTTCTTAACCATTGAAAGATAATTGCAGGTAGGGAAGCTCATGTGATGACATTTGAGGTTGGAGCTGTACTAGAGGACGAGAAATGGCAAGCTCCTGTCTATTGTTTCCACAATGAGAAGAAGAATAGTGAGTAATGGAGATTGTGTTTCATTATATATCCAGTATCTTTCAAGGGGAATTTAAATATCAAATGTTCAACGAGGAGGTCATTTTCGTTTCTATTCAGAGGAGCATAAATAAAAGTAGATGTCTAATGTCTTAATCCACAGGCCTATATTGGGCTTCACTAATTTCGAATTCTTCTTTAGTGTGGCTAAGGACTAAGAAGCACCTTCTTACTTTTTTTTTTTTTTTTGAAACTTACTTCTTGTTACTCCATAATCCATTTGCTTAAATTATCTAAATACAGTAGACGGTGTGAATAAATATTTTACTATAAGAAAAAATTAATTTAGTAATTAATAAGGGACCCAAGTAATAATTTACAAAGTTGATCCGACCACATTAAAAAGAGAATCCATAAAAGCACGAGAACTCTAATGTGGGGTGTAAGAAAAGGGTAGTTTTCATCTTTTTAATGACGCCTTTTTTTTTTTCAGAATTAATGATCATTACACCATTTTTAACCTTTTAATAAGTAGCCAATAGTTTTGCGTTGTGGATTCACTATGCAGAGGAGGATAAAGTCAAGAGACCAAGTCACTAATGCACATGTGATTTGGTTCCTAAAAAGATTTAGAGATAACAAAAAGGTTTTTAGCCTTTTTGGGACTTTTTGTCTATTAATTAATCAAAGACGTCCATTTCTTAAGAAAAGGTTGTGAGTAGTATATATGATTTTGATAATTAAACATCGCAATCTTTTAGCTGTTTTGCAATTACTTTTGTAATATAACCATCTCTTTTCAAATACAAGGCAAAATATAAAAAATGTTTTACATCACACGTTGCATAACTTGCATAAGACGTTCACTGCCAAGTTGTTACAATATTCTGTGATGTTTTTGAGTAATTATGAATAAACTTTATAACACATAAAACCCCAGCTTTTAGAATTATATTCTTTTGAAAAAGAAACATAAACCCCACTTTTTATTCCTTTTAAAAAATATGAAAGTTTTATGGGAACATAGTAACATGCTTCTTGACTCTTTTTTTTTTTTTTTGTATATAAATAATTAAGTTGGATCTGACTTTTTAACATTCTTTCTCATCACCCATATGCTTCATTCACCTAAAGTTGTAGACTTGTAGCTGTTGTTTCCAAATCAATTTCCAGCCCGATAAATACTCTATTTTCCTATCCCAAAAATATCCTACTCAT